TACATAGTAATTTAGATAATAAAGATTATATTTTGTTATTGCTGTTTTATAAAAGCAATAGGTATGGGAAGAGAATGTTTAAAAGCTAAATACCTGCATATTCACTAAAAATATTAATATTTTGGTGTATTCACTAGTAAGAAATAAGTTAAAAAAGTGAAATAATTGATTATAAGAGATTGCTTTATAGGCTAATGTTTATATTTATTCACAGTGATATAGACAAATATGTATTTTTATTTGTAAAGGAAACTAATTTCCTTTTATAAAATTATTCCTATAATTACAGTAATTGAAATTTTAAAGTAAGATCTTTAAAAAATTGTCAACTTTTTAAAGTAAAGAGAATTTACTTTATTTACCAGTTTTACTTGAAACTGTTTTATAGCTCCTAATAAGGTAAATATTGGGGCATCATTAGGTATGAAGTCAAATATGCAACATTGTCATAGATTTCACTGTAGGAGTTGAAGTTTTGGTAATAGTAGTGTAATATCTAGCTGTTTGTGGATGTTGTTTGTTTCTAGTAGAAATTAAGTTCAGAATACAGTTTGATGCCTTACAGGAGATATATTCAGCAAATTCAGTTGAAAGTTTGATGCTGGATAAATTCATGTTAAATTTTTTTACAAAATTGTAATAAAATATACACAAAATTTTCCTTTTTAGCCATTAGAGTATAGGATTCAGTGGTATTAGGTACATCACATTGTTGTGCAGCCATCACCACCGCCCAGTGCTTTTCATCTCCCCAAACTGAAATAACATACCTATTAAACAGTAACTATCTATCTAATAAATTTGCTTTTAAGTTTGTTTCCTGTCTCTGGATTTTAACTCCGTGATTGATTTCGTTACACTCAGCTCTTCCACAAAGGAATTTAACTGGTCTCTTGTCTCTTGATGATGTATATTCTAGACAGTGCTATTTTGACTTTCTGTATGATTGTTTCTTAATTTTTGCTTTGTTCTAGCTGCTTTATTTCCAGTTGCTGGGCTTCATCAAAGTTAATTACTTTCACTTTGTTTGCTGCTTTTTTTTTCTGTAAGTTGTGGATTAATTAAAGTAGCAATACTGTGAGGTAATTGCAGTAAAATTTTTGTTTTTCGTTCCAAACTGCCAGGCAATAAAAGGGAGCTAGATCAAGAGATCAAGAGTGACCTATACATTTAAGACTATAAATACAGTCTTGTTTCTTCACTTAGCTAGTGAGGCACTTCTCAAAATTTCTGTACAGAAATTAGCTGAGCCTAATCTTTCTAGTAGACCCACTCCTCTGTCCTTTGAATTTCATGCAAAGTGGTAGGTACAGCTAGAGCCTTGAGTAGAGTTAGTTACTTTTTTTAAAAGTTAAGAATATTTGAGATATTTGCAAATTTCATCATAAGTCATATATGCCTTTTTTCTTCTTTTTTCATATTTATGTGAGGTTGCTCAATGTACTTTGTATATTTTGAGGGAAAGTCATTAAAAGTTTTCCTTCAAACTTACACCTAATAAATTGAGTGTTCTTTGATGAGCTGATGATTATTGATTTGATACTGGGATTACTTTTGAACATGGGACCATTTACTACCAATATAAAAATGTAGGGTTTTCCAGACTAAAAGGATGTCAGATTTTCTTTCAATATGTGCGATGCTTTAAAGCTAGTGTTCTGGGGGAAAATGACCTTCAGCATCTAGTGCAGTCCTTTCAGAGAAAGGATAAGAGAGATACCCTGTCCACCTCTCAGTTGGCAAAATTGGGACTAGAAATCTTCTTGACAACAAAATTTTGTTGTTATTATGAAACTTGAGTGGCCTCTGGTGGTCAAAATAATATATTCTATTTTCAAAGCTGTGTTTGAAGGGAGTTTTGCTTATTAAAGCACATAATTTTTTATTTTGAGAGCTTGTACAAATGAATGGAAGTTTAATTATATTTCTCTATTGGTATGTACAGACACAAATCCTTACATCTGTATTCCCCCCCACCTACAGGAAATTGTTGACAACTTTAAATTTGATTCCTGAAAGGACTCAAGTAAGTAGAATAGTAATTATTCATACATTTTTGTTGGTGTGGGAAGCCAGTAGATTTCAGTAATTTAGTATTGCATCTTGTTAAGAAACTATATAGTATTTCTTTAGAGCTCTTGTAGTTTTTCTTTCTCATTAATTACAAAATCTTACTTTTCCTTATGTTCTCCTTTAGTTCATTAATTTATAGTTATAATTTTTGCCATCACTTGACATATTTTATTTATTGAATGATTTTCAGGACCTTTAAAAACAATTATCTGTTTTTATAACATTAAAGTGTGTAAAACATGCAGTGAAAATATTTACCCTCCTATACCTCAGCCATCTCATTTTCCCCAGAGGCAGGCACGGTTATGTTCTTTTGCTTATACTCCCAGGAGTAGTCTGTGCATAGCATGTGTGTATTCATATCCTGCTTTTTTACTTCCAAGGTGTCTGAATACTCTACATGTTAGTCTCCCCTTTGCTCTTTTTTACTTAGCGGTGTATCTTGACAGTCTTTCTATGTTGTTATATATGATATTACTTTTCCTTGACATGGTTTGCATAGAATTACTTTATATGAATGTATAATATTTCATTTAATCTGTACCCTCCTGAGGGACATTTTAGGTGGCTTTCAGTCTTTGCCATGCACACGGACAAGTATATGTAGATGGGAATTGCCAAGTCAAAAGCATATGTATATTTAATATTTTTAATAGATACTGTCAAATTGTTTCTAGTCTGTTCCAAATTATATTTCATTAATGCATGAATGTTGCTTTCCTTACCCTGGGCTTCCCTGGTAGCTCAACTGGTAAAGAATCTGCCTGCAATGCAAGAGACTCTGGTTTTGATTCCTGGGTCCAAAAGATCAGCTGGAGAAGGGGATGGCTACCCGCTCCAGTATTCTTGGGTTTCCTGGGTGGCTCAGCTGGTAAAGAATCCACCTGCAATACAGGAGACCTGGGTTTGATGCCTGGGAGAAGGGAATGGCTACCCATTCCAGTATTCTGACCTGGAGAATTCCATGGACCGTATAGAACTTGGGGTCACGAAGAGTTGGACACCACTGAGTGACTTTCACTTTCACTTTTCTTACTTTCATCAAAACAGGTTGATTTTGCAGAGCTTTGGGTACACCATTATAGTTTTAGTTTTCATCTTTATTTTGAAGAAAGGTGAGCATCTTCTCAAAAGATTAAGCAATTGCATTCCTTTTCTTTTGTGAACTGTGTCATATATCTGTTTTTCTTTAGGGTAGCTGGGTTTTTTTTTTTTCCCCTGTGATTTGATTTCAGTTTGTTGCTGTTACTGTTTCTGTGTACTATTATCTTAAGTAGGATAAAACCTAACTCATTGTTTAGACTGAAACTTTTTTCACTGAAGGTAGGAGAGAAGAAGTAATGTTGACAGTTCCTTTTAAGCTTCCATCAATTCTTCTACCTGAAAGACTGTTTACTTTGAAATAACATTGTTAATAATGTCTGATTATAGAGTTGGAATTAAGGTTAATTTATGCATAATAGTAAAAGCTAATTTATAACTTAAAAGATTTCCCCTGGCACCTTTGGTTAGTTAATTTTATTTGGTCTGTTTGTATTAGAACACATTATAGTTTTTTGTTTTTTTTTACAGAGAGAATTAAGGTTGATTGTACTATGGTAGTGTTAAAAAATATTGCCCTCATCTTCCAGACTTTATTTTTCCCTTAGCCTAAACTAACCTAAAATATTACAGTCCTGTGCTGCCAAAACGGGATGTCCATTCTTTTTTCTCCTCCTTAGTATTTCATCATAAAGAACCACCAAAAATCTCTTGATGTGTGTCTTTGAAATATTTTTCTTCTTCACGGATTTGTGGACTGTGCGTGTGGACTTGTTGCCTTGTTTTCTGTGTACTAAAAGGCCCAAACTTGGTACCTGTCCCATTTTGCTTCTTGCTCAAGATCATCTGTCTACTCATCAGGATGGTTCACAGATCTGTACTTCTGCATGAGTACTTTACCCTCTTCCAGTTCTATCCTGTTAAACATTTGTCATCTACTCTGGGGCTACCTGCCTGTTTTTGTAGATAGAATGTTTTGGGAGCGTGGCCACACCCATATATTGATATATGTTGCCTGTGACTGCTTTCCTGTTAAAAAATAGCAGAATTGAGCAGCTGTAGCAGAGACCTGTGACCTGCAGTGCCAGAAGTATTTGTCTGGTCCTTTACAGAGACATTTGCCAGCTACTCAACCATGGCGTCAACGTTTATGTAAATAACTTACATCTTGTTCACAGATGCTCTTTCATCAGGACTCTATCACACTGCATTAGCTCTCTACCCAGAATGTGTCAGCTCTCTGTCAAAGTAGGAGTCTCTCTTTGCAGCCCCACATGTGAAGAATGCTGGCAGAACTTTTAATTTCAAATTTTACAAAGGTGCCTTGGCATTGAAATGAGATTATAGAGTTGAAAAAAAATCAAGAGTGGTTTCTTTCAGGGGTTGTTGAGTATGTTTTCACAGGATTGTTTAGTGTTTTTTCCAGGTAAAACCACTTCTTTGGATGTACAGAGACAGTAAGCTTTTAAGGATATTAAAAGATGAAGCTGCTGTTGTACACATCATTCAGCTTTGCTGATAAGCCTCTCATACTACTCATTAAAATGAATCTTTTATAATTTTCACTCTATGAGAATGGAAAACTGGTGGTAGTATGAATCTTCCCATAGTTAATGGGAATATGGTCTTTGAAGCTTTTCATAGCCTTGGAAATTGAAGAAAGGTGGGACTTTTTATTACTTTTTTTTTAAAGAAAATTTCAAAATTATTTTTGAAGAATTGTTGTAATTATTCTTTTTTTCCTTTTGATCACTTACATTTATTCCCCCTTAAGTGTCTCTAGAAAATATTTGTATCAGAATGTAATAACTTACCTTTTCATTTTCTTACTTACTTCCTAGTAACCTAAAACCCATTATTCTCTGGTTTCTTTTTTTATTCTTTAGTGGCTTACAAAGGAGATGAAATGTGGTCTGAGGGACGATATGACTATGAAAGACTTCCAAGAGAAAGAGTACCTCCTCGAAGTCACCCCAGTGTAAGTTGTTCTTACATTAGAATAATTCAAAACCTGGCGTCCAAGTGAATTTTCTCTGTCAAAACTAGTTGAAATGGGGATAGATCAAGCTTTTAAAAGTCAAAAGTTTGAAAATAAGATAACATTTTGTTTATGTAGAAAATCTATAGTTTATATTTCTTATTTAAATTTCTAAAAGGGAGGGCTTGTGTTGAATGCAATTTGTAAAGAAAATGCAAGATTTGATAACACGCAGACCATGTGTTAACAAAGGAGTGTCTAAGCAAGGGCAGCTCAGGGGCAGCAGGCCGCTCTGGCTGTTCCGCTGCTTTTCTCTTTCTTTCTCTGGGAGTCAGTGATTTGAGCCAGGCCTTTTCTTTGCTCAAGGAGCTTGCTGTTTTGCTTTTTATTCCCAGCACTGTGTTTATAACCTGGCACATAGTAGGCACTCATGTTTATTGAATGGGTGTATGTTCTCTCTCTCTGTCTCTCAAAATCCTCTGTAGAGATCCAAGGGAGGATCTGGAGAAGGTCAAGAAGCTGTCAAAACTTTTGCTTAGGGCGATTGGGCTCATGGTGATGGTATATGAGTATATTATGGATTCATTATACAGCATCAGACGGCACAAATATTTGTTTATATGTTAGTTGTTTTTTGCTTCTATAAGTAAATCCTCTAACCCTCTTAGATGGGTGATATCACCTTCATGATTGTCATTTCTGCTAGGTTACAGCTTAGGTTGGGGTTGATCTAAAGTGATTTAAGGTGGAAAAAATGAAGAGGCCTACCATATTTCAGAAGGGGCAGATTTAATTATTACCAAATGTCATTTTTTCCAGGTTGATTTATAGACTTGATGTTTCTAATAAATATCTCAATTTAAAAATATTTTCAGCTTGATAGAATTATTTTTTAGTTTACCTGGAATAAACAAGTGATAAAATGTAGGACTAATGCAGCAATGAGAAAAGATACGGATTATTTTTTTAAAACAATTTTTTTTAGGTCTCTTAACTCTCGTATGGATATATCCGATTAGAAATTTGGGATACTTAAAAGGATTTTCTGTGTGGTTATGCCATTAACTGAATATATATCTTTGGGTTTGTTTTACTTTTTTCTTTTCTTTTCTAGTTAGATTTTTTTAAAATGTAACACATTTGTTGTTGTTTAGCCACTGAGTCATGTGCAACTCTTTGTGACCCTATGGACTATAGCCCACCAAGCTTCTTAGTCTGTGGGATTTGCCAGGCAAAATACTGGAGTCTCTGCTGCTGAGCCACTGTGAAAGCTTCTGTAACACATTTACATGGCTTCAGATTATAAAATAAGGTATATTTAGAGAGAAGATGACTTCCTTTAAATGATAATTTATTGTGATTATCTATTTAGCTAGTGCCTGCTTACTGTAAGTGAGGTATAAACTTCCTAATCTTCAAAACAATTTTGGGTGTTGAATAGTATAACATTTATAGAGCTTAGTAGAGCCTTAAAATGTAGACAGAAATTTATATGTGGAAATATATTTTCAGATAACAATGGGAAATACTGATGATAAAATCATGGAGAAAGTTACAACATAAAACCTTTATGACACTATTCTGCACTGTGTGTACATGCTACGAATATCTTAATGATAGAACACACTGCAGTGGGAGTTGGCTTAAAGAGCTGTTAAAATTGAAAGCCAGGAGACCTGCCCAGAGGCTATTGCTAAGCAAAGAAGCTGGTTTAAATAAGATGGGGAGGAGTGAATTTTAAGATAGGAATCAGTTTATCAGTGTCATAACTCAAATATATCAGCAAATCTGGAAGACCCAGCAGTGGCCACAGGACTGGAGAAGGTCAATCTTCATTTTAGTTCCCAAGAAGGTCAGTACTAAAGAATGTTCAAACCATCAGACAGCTGCACTCATCTCCTATGCTAGTAAGTTCATCATTAATATCTTGCATGCTAGGCTTCAGTGTTACACAAACCACGGACTTCCAGACGTCCAAGTTGTGTTTAGAAAAGTCAGAGGAAAGTGAAAGTGAAAGTCGCTCAGTTGTGTCCGACTCTTTGCGACCCCATGGACTATACAGTCCATGGAGTTCTCCAGGCCAAAATACTGGAGTGGGTAGCCTTTCCCTTCTCCAGGGGATCTTCCCAACCCAGGGATCAAAACCAGGTCTCCCGCATTGCAAGCGGATTCCTTACCAGCTGAGCCACAAGAAAAGGCAGAGGAACCAGAGATCGAATTGCCAACTTATTTGCTGGGTCATGGAGAAAGCAAGGGAATTCAAGAAAAACATCTACCTCTGCTTCATTGACTACACTAAAGCCTTTGACTTGTGGATCATAACAAATTGTAGAAAGGTCTTAAGGAGATGGAAATACCGGATGATCTTACCTGTCTGCTGAGAAACCTGCACACGAGTCAAGAAGTGACATTTAGCCACCTGGTATGGAACAACTGATTAGTTTTGGGTTTAGAAAGGAGCACAGCAGGGCTGTCTGTTGTCACCATGTTTGTTTAACCTGTATGCCGAGCACATCAGGAGAAATGTCAGGCTGGATGAGTCACAAGCTGAAATCAAGAGAGGCAGGAGAAATATCAACAACCTCAGATGTGCAGATGACACCACTCAAATGGCAGAAAGCAAAGAGGAACTAAAGAGCCTCCTGATGAAGGTGAAGGAGGGGAGTGAGGAAGTTGGCTTAAAACTAAATATTAAAAAAGCTAAGATCATGGCATCCAGACCCATTGCTTCATGGCAAATAGAAGGGGAAAAGGTGGAAGCAGTGACGGATTTCCTCTTCCTGGGCTCTAAAATCACTGTGGATGGTGACTGCAACCATGAAATCAGAAGACAATTGCTTCTTGGAAGGAAAGCTATGACAAACCTAGACAGTATGTTGAAAAGCAGATCCATCATTCTGCCGACAAAGGTTCATATAGTCAAGTCTATGGCCTTCCCAGTGGTCTTGTATGGTTGTGAGAGCTGGGTCATAAAGAAGGCAGAACACCAAAAAATTGATGCCTTTAAACTGTAGTGCTGGAGAAGATTCCTAAAATTCCTTTGGACATCATGGAGATCAAAGCAGTAAATTTTAAAGGAAATCAACCCTGAATACTCATTGGAAGGACTGATGCTGAAGCTCCAGTATTTTGGTCACCTGATGTGAAAAGATGACTCTTTGGAAAAATCCCTGTCGCTGGGAGAGATTGAGGGCAAAAGGAGAAGAGGGCATCAGAGGATGAGATGGCTGGATGGACATGAACTTGGGCAAACTCTGGGAGATGGCGTGGGACAGGGAGGCCTGGCGTGCTGCCGCTTTGGGGTTGCAGGGAGTCAGACATGACTTGATGACTGAACAACAACAAAAGACCAATGGGTAGGACCCTCTAATCTTGTTGTCTGTGTGAGAATGGATTTGAGAAAGTTTGTATCTCAAGGCCTTTATTTTTCTCTGAAGTAAGAGGTGGCAAGGTCATCTGTTGAAAGCAGTGGAGGGAGAGGGAGGCTTGAGGCCAGGACTGAAGCTTTGGCGTAGCTGGTGTCGGGATCTCCTGACCAGAGATGCTCAAAAACACGGTTGCTGAGGCTCTGTAAGCTTAACTCCTGTAGGGGCACCAATTTGGGAGCAGCGAAAGCAAGTTGTATTGATTTAAGATTGCAAGATGAGTGATGGACCCAGGGAGGTAAGAATTATTGAGGTAATATGTTACGTGGAATGGACTGATTAGGAAAGGGAATAAGGCTGTGAGACAGACAGTGAATTGAAAGCAGTGAGAGGTTGAAGGACAGGAAAGTCTCTGTGAGGTTGAAGACGAGGTATGGCGGAAAGATAAGTAATCAATATCTTGGAATGTAGTGTTTCCAAAATGGAGCAGTTCTGGGTACTGAAATTCAGTGTATGTGGCAGGAATGAGGGTGGGTGAAGGTTATTGGAGTTGAGATTAACGGAGCTTTGAGGTTGGATTTTGGATCAGTGATATAAATTAGGGCTCTCAGTCCTCACTGTACATTAGATTCAGCTAGAGAGCTCTTAAATACCAGTGAATGGGTCCTCCCTGGCTAATGAAGTCATGATCTTTGTGGCTAGAATTTGGATGTCAGTGTTGTTTAAAAGTTCATCAGGTAATTCCTATTTGCAGAGTTAAAGTCAGATTGTGACTGAGCACTGAAGTCACTGATGATGACAGTTGAGTTCAAGAGGTCAGGTGAGGGAAAGGGAAAGTGAAAGTCGCTCAGGCATGTCGGACTCTTTGTGACCCCATGGACTATACAGCCCATGGAATTCTCCAGGCCAGAATACTGGAGTGGGTAGCCTTTCCCTTCTCCAGGGGATCTTCCCAACCCAGGGATCGAACCCTGATCTCCCACATTGCAGGCAGATTCTTTACCAGCTGAGCCACAAGGGAAGCCCAAGAATACTGAAGTGGGTAGTCTATCCCTTCTCCAACGGATCTTCCCGACCCAGGAATCAAACGGGTTTCCTGCATTGCAGGAGAGGGAAGTCCTCAGTGAATGAGGATGTTGTAGTAAAACCTAAACAAAGTTTTCATTTTATGCCATTTTTGTGTGTGTCAAAGTGAAACAGAGGCATTTTTTCCTTTTAAAATAATTTCATCAGCTGTAAGCAGATAGGGAGATACGTTTTTACACAAGTGTCTGTGAAATCAGATTAGATGTATTCAACTGTAAATCTAAAGGTCAGTCTTACTTCATTAAGTTCTCTGGCTTCTAGGCTCCTCCTAGATGGGGAGGAATCCAGACAGCTTTTCTCCTTTTGGAGCACGGAACATGCCCAGACCTTATCCAAGTTCATTCCTCTCCTATTTTAATTCCGTTAGATTGATCTCTCCATTCCCCCAGTCAGTTTGTCTTACTCTGTAAAGTCTGTATTCTCATATCCTCTCTCCCTAAGAATCATACACTACAGATTTTCTGGTGAACACTTATTATGGTTATTAATTTAAAGCCTTCCTTTCCCCTCAATAATGTTATACTCCTTTGATGGCTCTTGGAAAATTAT